AAATGTTTTCGACACCCTTATTGGCTTCAAAGGTGATTGGCCTATATTTTGAAACCTTCGATTTCAAATGTCTTGGACATTATCATTTCCATCGGGGAAATAAGCTTTTAAATTCATTTCGGGTAGCATATCCGGTTGATCAAATGCGGCTGTTGGCATCAGAAAGAAACATTCATCATCACTTTCTCCAGAGGTATTATCGGAGCCAGGAGTAAGTTGCAATTCTTGTTTCACCTGTTGGCGACTATAATGCTTCACACTACACATATCTACAAAAAGGAGAAAACAACGTATGGGTAAAAGGAATCGTGTAATATAGGGATTATTGCATGTACACTCAAAAGATATTACTGGAGAGAAAAGACTAACTGAATGATAATAGCTAAATATATATGTCATTTTCATTTCTCTATTTTATTTTCATCCTGAACGGACGTATTTTGTGCATGTTCGTCTAAGTACACGTATATTCACATATACAACTAAAATATTATACGATTTGAACTTTTTGAATCTTTTTCCGCTTCGCAAATAATACCTTACCTACAAATTAAAAAAGTAAGCATGGCTGAAAAATTTTGACGATTGATCAATAGAAGATAGAAACTAAGAAGAACTGATTCAGTTATTTATCTAGAACAATGAGGTTGGTGAAGTCCCCGGCCTCTCTCTTTATAATAATTTGTAATATAAGCCAACCTAAATTATAACAACTGGTGAATAAAGTTGAATTGTCTGCGATTACTTGCTTTGATTTAATATCATTTGTTTCAGTTGTTGTGTTGGATCCAGGTGATGATGTTGAATGTTTTGTTAATTCTAATGTTTGTTTAAAATAGTCTCTTGCCGTATTAAATTCTTTTTCTGCTCATAATAAATTAATGTCAGATTATTTAAAACAGTTATTTTTTGATCATTTGATAATGATGATTTTTCATTTTATTTATAATGAGAAGAAATAACAATGTTTTTCTTCATTTTTTCTCATTCAGCGACAGGATTCATCCTGCTTCACTACACGATATGTTTTTCTTCTTCTTTTTCTAATGTTCTTGTTTATTTGGTGAAAAATATTTTTGACAAAAAATTTCACTACTCTTTGACTCATTCTTTATTGAATTTAACTACAAGTTTAAGTTCAATATTTCCAGATTATTTTTTCATATAGTTCGAAATACAGTGTGTGTCCTACGATGTCAGACATGATCTAGTATTGTTTCTTCTTTCTCTGCTGTTGCCAGTGCTACTTCTGGATTCAAGGACATTGACACTGTTTGCTGGCGATGTATTGTCAGCACTAGATAATGTTCTATGATTCACACATGGCCTAGGTATAATGACGGTGTCAGGTAAAAGATCATGAATATTACAATATCCTTCAAGATCGATGATAAATTTGATGAACTCTTCCCTCATTTTTAAAACATTCTTTAATTCAATTTGTGCTGCTTGTTGATTACGTTCACGAACTGTTTCTGGTCTAATACAGCCCATGAATTGATGTTTCAGTCCGAAAAAATCGTATAAACCAACTGGAAGTTCTTTGTAATTGAAAAAATCTTCCACTAACTGTTCTCTGTTTGTTTCAGGGATTTGTTCACAATGTGTGATGATTAATGCCATGCTCTTACTCAATTCGGGAAATGTTTCTTTGACAAGTTTCATTGAATCTATATCATGTTGATTGATACCGCCACTAGTACTTGCTGGAGTGAAGACAAATGCAAATAAATGTATATGCGTTATATCTTTTAGCATACACTCATTAATGTATTGTATGATTTTTTCATTTGATATTTGAATTCTCATATCATTAGCAGAAACTAAATCATAAAATCCTGGAGTATCAATAATATTAAAATTCATAATTTCTTTTCCTTCCGATTTTGTTTCTGTTGTTACCGTTTCGTTGGTTTGTTGCTCTTTACTATAAGGAAGAGCAGATGCAATGGGAATTATTTTAAGTTCTTTTGTTGTTGAGTATAACTCATCTTTGTATGAATCATCTTTATACGGACAGTAGCTTGGATTTCGAAGAACTTCAGCTATTGTGGACTTTCCCGCTTTCGTTCGTCCGATCAATACGATATTTCTCGTATTACATTTTCTAAATTTATAATTATTATAGTTTTCAGCAGTTGTACGAAGCTCATTTTGGAAACATGTCAAACTTTTTACACTTTCTTGTGCTTTCTCCAAATCCCAGCTCGAAACATCCATCTAAAATGATGAAAAAATAGTCAGTAAGATATTATGAAAGAATTTGTACATAGTTCAAACTGAAATTGGCTGAATGTTCTTCAGATGATTAGTAGTTTTGAATACTTTTGAAACTTTATCGTATTTAATGTTTCCGGGAAACGTATTTTTTAGTTGGTAAAAATCAATCACACCTATTGAAAGAACATCAAAACGTGTATCTGAGTTTATCTAAAAGGAGTTGAAATCTATCTTATTGTCATGCACTTTATTTCGAGAAATTGTTTTTTGCGGAACTATATATCGTTTATATGACGTGTAGCCTTAAGAAACTCTTTTAGGCAGCGCGGTGTAAAGACACTTTTCTTCATCGATAAATGCTTTAGAAATAAGCAAAATACAAGAAAACTTCGAAAACTGTAACACACAAAGATAGTTCATGTACAGATACAAGACAGAACCGAACAAATTTCATTTTTGCAGCAAACTGCAGAAGTAAACTTTGACGGTCTGTCATATATGATGCACACGGAACTGTAACAATTGTTACAATGTCCTGCATATTCAAAAAGTGATGAATAATTATGCAAGCCCAAGAAAAGAAAA